TTATTGAGCTGTAAATCAGGTTCATGTTTTTTTTTTTTTTTTTTTTTTTTATATATATATCTTTTACATACTTTTATTTTGGAAGGGATTGAGTACTGGCATTGTCAGAAGCATTGTAGTCCTGGACCTGTTTCACTAGCCACTACTGTACTCTGTAATTTTCTGTATGATTAGGTATATAAATTTATAAGTACTACAGTTTTTAAGTCTGAGTACTAACATTATTTCCCAATCTGCTCAGAACCATTTGGATGAGTGATTGAGAAATAAATTCCATGCATTTTTGTGCTCAGTAAGATTGTTAGTCAAATGAAATACCTCCACAAAAAATGTGATTGTGGAAATGTCATTGGTTGAAAATAGATTAAAGTTAGGGCAAAAATTCATCTTCATGTCATGTGTATCCTTATTCCATTATTGGCTATAATATGCCAAGGAAACAGTGGAATATGTGTAGTCCTCATGATCATGGGGTTGGTGGTGCACATTGATAGTTTCCTTTGTTTATGCCCAGCTTCTTCGCTAAAATTTGAGATATAAAAATATTGAAGGTTTACCTTCACTTTAGTTGCTGCTGCCTAAAAGCTTTACTGTAGAAATGAAGCCGCTACTTTCATTAAAAAACAATGGTGTGGGAATGATTGTAATGCAATGCCACCCACTACCCTGTCCACAGTAGCCATGGCATGATTGTACATGCCACCCTGGCGTTAAGAGGTTAATAAAAGTATAATTGTCAGTCATCCAGTGGGAATGTCAAAATAACCCAGACGTGTATAGTGGTCACCTAGTGGCAGTGGGTTGTAAGTGGTTATATCAAGATTTCAGCAGAGCCTCTCATAAGAGATGTGTGGCATCAAGTAATGGCTAATGGTATGTATGCCAGCAATCTTTTGGTAAGTTTTGTTCTTTATTTGATGCAAAGATATATGAAAATCTGCATGCCTGAGCTTGTTAGAATAAATAGGATGGAAATTTGATAGCCATTGTTGGAGCACTGCCAGTATCAGAGGCTGTTGTGATTGCTTACTACTGTGCCACCACTCTAATTACCAGTAATACTGATCTGGATTGTTGGCATGAAAAGCAATGCAAAATTTTTGTTTTGTTTTTTGCAGGCAGTCTAGATTACAGTGATCCAAATATGAATTTTTATATTGTTGATAGAAATTTCCAGTTGAAGATTTTTGAATTGGTTTAATTGAGATTTGCTATTTTTCA